GGAAAGAAACTGAGGTGCAGAAAGGTTCAGTACTTTGGCCAAGTTCACCAACAAAGTGATGGGACCAGAATCTAACACGGCTCCTGAAATGGTTTTCACACTTTCATGCCTTTATCCATTCTTAAATCCATGGCTGCATCCCATGCATCCCAGGTTCTTCCAAAACTTCCAGGTAGATGGGAGCTCAGAGGTTGGGCTCTTTATTGGTTAAGACTTTGATTTCAAACTTACAGAAAGGTTACAAAAATGGCAGAAAGAACTACTCTATACTTTTTGCCAAGATTAACCAATTGTTAATAATTTGCTCCATTCACACATGTGCATGCGCAATCAGGCATGCACACACTCCCTGCCATAGTATATATACACAAATATATATGTATTCACATCTATTTTTTTCTGAACCATCTGAGAATAAGTTGCAAACACCATGTCCTCTTATTCCAAACACTTTCGTGTGCATTGAACCATTTCAAGATGGCTACTTATGCAACCACGGTACAGTGAGCCTGTTGTGGCCCTGACTATAAAATGTAAGGAAGATGGAGACCGCGGTTACTTACTTCGCAATATCTACATCTGAGTACAGCTTCTGCGGAATGTATTATTGTTTTCCAGTATTCACTGCAATTATTTACATCCCAAATACCTGACTCACCAACATTAGGCTTGGCCATGCGACTTCTATGGGCAATGAAGTGTGAGTGGAAGTGACATGTGCCACTTCTGAGCAAAGGCTTAAGAGCCATCATGGAACCTTACTACGACCTCTCCCCTCCACCTTAAGAATGTCCCATTTCATGGAATGGTGCCGCAATAAATGAACTTGATGTCACATGCCACTGGGCTTATTACTACAGCACAGTCCAGCAAAACTGACTGATATACTTCAAACTTTTCCATTACTATTTTCAATTAAAAATTTGGTTTTTTTTTTATCTTCTACTGTTCTATGGGTTTTCCTTCTAGTATATATTTTAAGAGAATATGTACTACATCGATACCTCAGATTCAATAATTATGAGAAAGGTGCTTTCCACATGTTCCTAATTTGATTTTAAAAACAACACTGTTAAAGATATTATCATTAACCTACATGAAAAACCTGGGGTTTTCATAGATGTTTTATCGCCACTGATGAATTCTTGTATTCTTCTTAGAGAAATTCTAATAAGCTGATTTCCTTAGTAGTGCCACCGTCTTTCCAGCTCAATAAAATCAAGGTGGAAAACTGAACCCAGTTTGGGTCATTTTCTCTAAACCTCCTTTCAGTGAAACACTGAAATTTGGTTCTCTGTCTTCCTGCTGCCCTAAGACAGACATACTACTATTTCAATTAACTTGGAGAGGAGGATTCTAACAGAGTACAAATGCCATGTTAAAATGACTTTTTATTTATCTACTTTTCTGAGCCCCTGGACAAACACTGTACCAGTTCTCTTTTTACTGCCTATCATAGGATATGCTGAATTATATTTCAAAATGTGACTTCTTATTTAAATAAATTCAAGATTTAGATGTTATTATGTGTCCATGAAGGGAAAAGATCTTCAGCTCCTAAAATTCCTTTTTAAAATGGAATAAATGAACAAGAAAAGGATATGTATATATGCATCTATCTTTTAACTGCTGAAGATCCCTCATTTTCCTGTGGCTCTCACCAACATATCGCAAATGTTTAAAAAAAAAAAAAAAAAAAAAGAAAGACTATTATGCAACATACACACACACAGAGGTCTCAGACTTATGAAGTATTTATTGACTAGCTATCGACATGATAAACACTCTCATCACCTTATGAGGCAGGGGCAGTGCATGCCCCGTGAACCACAGATGTAAAATATCAATTTCGATCACTCACGGACGGCATCAAAGGTGCACAATATATACAGTTAACTGTGACACTGCTGAAGCACAAATCTGAACTGTACAGGTGAGGACGGTGGCAACAATGCAGCAGTTACTCATTTGGCTCAGGGGTCCCCAACCCCTGGGCTGCGGACCGGTATCAGTCCAAGGCCTGACAGGAACCGGGACATGGAGCAGGAGGTGAGCGGCAAGTGAGCAAATGAAGCTTCATCTGTCTGCAGCTGCTCCCCAGCGCTAGCATCACTGCCTCAGCTCCGCCTCAGATCATCAGGCATTA